TGGCGGCATCGTAGTCGGCAGTGTGCTCGAAGGCCTTGAGAGCGTACTTGTTTCGGCTGGCCTCAGTGATCTCACCCTTCTCGAGCTCCTTCAGGAAACCAGCGTAATCCTGGGGGTCGCTGAGGATGGTGACACGCTTGTGGTTCTTGGCGGCAGCACGAATGAGGGTGACACCACCAATGTCAATCTCCTCAACGGCCTCGGGGATGCTGACATTGACCTTGGCGACAGTGTCCTTGAAGGGGTAGAGGTTGCAGATGACATAGTCAACCTTGTTGATGTTCTGCTCGGCGAGGTCCTTCTCATCGGAGGCAAGGTCTCGGGCCAAGATGCCGGCGTGGACAGCGGGGTGGAGGGTCTTGACACGGCCAGCCAGCATCTCGGGAGCCTTGGTGATGGCAGAGACGTCCCTGTAGAGGTCCAATTAGCCACCAATGGTCAGGTGAGCTCGTATTTGTTGTGTACATACTCGACAGGGAAACCTGACTCCCGGATCATCTTGGAAGTGCCACCCGAGGCAAGGATGCGGACATTCTGCTGGACAAGACCCTTGGCCAGGTCCAGCAGGCCAGTCTTGTCATAGACAGAGACGATGGCGATCTTCTGAGAGGACATTGTGATGGGGAGAAGAGAAGGAATTGATGATGGGGAGAAAGGGAGGGGAAGAGAAGAAGATTTAAAAAAGAAAAAGAGGAAGAAAAAGGAAAAGCAAGGCTGTACAACGAGTGGGAGTGGTTCTCGTTTGCGCCCGGCGAGAAGGGGAAAAAAGTTTGGCGGGGTAAGAGGCGATTGCGGAACGAGGATTCGAGGGAGGGAGGGGGCGGGGCAGGAGCAAGAGAAAAAAAAATGAGCACAAGAAGTGCTGCAGTTTTTGGTGCCCGGCGTGTTAGTGAGGGAAATTCGTCATCTATGGAGCTAGTAAATTGATTTCAGCCTTATGATAAGTCTTCCCGCACCAGATGAAATACTAATCGCACCACCATGACGGAGGGTAGAGACCTGAGATACACAGTATGATAAGAAGGTAAGAATAAGAGATTACAAGGGCATATAAACAAAGGGATGTAGCTACAGTGTATAAGCAGCCTTACTATTCTTATTGGCATGTTGGAGGCGTGCAGGCCATCAAGCCATGGAGGGAAGGGGAGGTTATGATAGCTTCACATTGGGCTTCGAGGTGCAGTTGTGTGGCACACCTACAAGCCCTACTTGAGCAGTATATCGCAACATAATGCTGCCATGGCCTTATAATGGCCTCGATGTTTCTTTTCATATATCTATCAAAATGAGCTCTTCATAACAATCCATCAACGCTATACGATCCAAAAAACATTTAAACACACGATGAACTCGGTCACGTGAAACAGAGCTCTCGACCCCTGTGCCAGAGTGGATTTTCCACCATGACCCACTCCAATTTGCACGCCCAAGGTGTAACACGCATGAGGGAGGTTCCAAGTGCTTATTAGCGGAGCTAGCCGCTGGAGATGGAGAAGGAGGGAGGAGGGGTCCTGCCATGGGTGAATCCATGAAGGCACGCGCGCCTGGCAGCTTCAAGTTTAGGTAGGCAGTCTCCATCCATGTCTTGGTTGTCTCGAACTTGACGCTGACACAGCAACATCACTACCAGCGGCAACCAACAAATTCTCCTAGTCATTTACTACTTAGACTCTCCCCCAACATCAAGTCGGAACCTTCTATCGTCCTCCAACTTGGTCCTACCACCAGCTTCTCGACCCGACTCTCCCTGAGCTTCGACAAGCTCCCCGCTCTCGAGATAATACAACCTTGGGCTTCAGCCTTGCACGACTGCGGATGGGCTCTCCCCCTCATCTCAAACAATCCTACCCCTCGCCTTGACATCCCGACTCCTCTTCCACCGCCAACCGCCCGAACTCTTGCATGTCTCCCCCGGAGCAGTCCGAAACCTCCTCCAGCCAGCTTGTCCTCGACGAGACGCTGCCTAGCAAACCCGATGTCGAGGTGACGTTTCCCAAACACCCCGCCGTTGGGGAGACGGATACAACAAAGGAATATGGCCGAGATGCAAACCTTGAGCATGCTCTAAAGTCAAACAGCGGTCCAGAGGAGGACTTGATCGACTTCCAGGACCAGCCCTCGAGCGTACCGCTGCAAAGCGAGGACGCGGTCGCTGGTGAGCCTCAGTCGGAAGTGGCCAGAGGAAAACAGGTAGCTGGCCACCAGCGAACCGGGAGCGATGCATTAAACGCACAGTCCTCACCCCTGGCGACTGTTAAGCCCATGATACTTCCCTCGTCGAACGACACCGCTACGCAGTACCTCACCGCCGAACCCTCCACTTACGTCGACCCCACGCCTGCAACCCCAACAACTTCTCAGCCACCTTCAAGAACTCCTTCAAATGCCACCCGCTCGCTTCACCCCGGAGAGATCTCTCCTTCCAAGTCAGATGCCGAATACGACGAAAGGCGGTACCTGAGCGAGGATGAGCAGGAAGGCAGATCACGATCCGAGATTCAGAGCATCATGGAGCAGTTCAGTGAGGTAGGCGGCGGACCCGGTGAGGAAGAAGTCATGAGCCCCAGGTTGGAAATTGCGTCGCCCATGCTGGGACACCCTGTCCAGCATCCTCCCCGAAAGTCGAGCCTCGAACCTCTTGCACCGTCGATATCTGGACAGCTTCAAGGCCTACACATCTCGACCAGCTCACCTCCCGCAGCAGGATCAGCCGATGCCGGCATCGATGATCATGGGCCGCCAGTACCCCCCAAGGACGGGATCCATGGAACACCTCCACGCCCCAAACTGGAGCGTACTGCGAGCGTGGCCACTCCAAGCTCACCTGCGCAAGCGCATCGGCCCCCGCCTCCCGAACCAGAGCCAGAACCAGTTCTGCCCTTCGACTTTCACCGTTTCCTAGAGCAGCTTCGGAATAAGAAGGCGGATCCCGTAGCGCGATACCTCAAGTCCTTCTTGTCGGAATTCGCCAAGCGGCAATGGATGGTCCATGAGCAGGTCAAGATTATTGGGGATTTCTTAGCCTTCATCGCCAACAAAATGGCACTCTGCGAGGTCTGGAGAGATGTTTCGGATGCCGAGTTCGACAATGCTCGTGAGGGAATGGAGAAGTTGGTCATGAATAGGTTGTACACGCAAACATTCTCTCCCGCCATCATGCCGCCCAAGCCCATTCCTGGGGCAAAGCCCAAGCGAAAGGGAGGTGATCTCCCCCTCGGACCTGGCCGACGCGGTCAACATCAAGAAGATGTCGAGCGGGATGATATCGTGACCCAAAAGATTAACATTTACGGTTGGGTCAAGGAGGAGCATCTGGATATTCCACCTGTCGGAGAGAGTGGGCGCCGCTTCCTGAAGCTGGCTCAGCAAGGTCAGCGCATTCACACTATGTGTGGTTTATCGCTAACTTGGAGCAGAACTTCTCAAAATCAAGTCGTACAGAGCACCACGCGACAAGATCATCTGCGTCCTGAACTGTTGCAAGGTGATCTTTGGTATGGCGCCCAGACCCTTGGCTGACAGCGTCCTCTAACACGGTGCAGGTCTATTGAAACACAACAAGTCGGATTCATCGGCCGACTCCTTCATGCCCCTGCTCATCTATGTCGTTTTGCAATCGAATCCTGACCACTTGGTCTCTAATGTGCAGTACATCCTTCGCTTCAGAAACCAGGAGAAGCTTGGGGGTGAAGCAGGCTACTACTTGTCCTCCTTGGTAAGATACTCATTGGATCCAGGAGTTTAATATACTAACAGAGTCTCAGATGGGTGCCATTCAGTTCATCGAGAATATGGATAGGACGACTCTAACTATAACGGATGATGAGTTTGAAAGGCACGTCGAAGCAGCTGTCTCAGCTATTGCCGAGAAGCATGCACAATCGCCACAAGCGACCCAACAGCCCGTATTTAATGAGAAATCGGTACCTCCTGGTGAGCCGGCTAGCCGACAATCTCTGGATGGGCAAACTACGCCTGCACCACGCCGTTCGACGTCAAATGATGGCTACACGGGCGACGACAGGGCGGCTATTACCGGCCTTCTCAAGACAATCCAGAGACCGCTCTCCACGATCGGAAGGATGTTTTCCGAAGAACCTGTTACCACCAGCGAACCAGGTCCTAGTAGTGCACCTCGCACTCCAGCACCACCAGAGCAGCTTCGCCAGAGTCGCGAAGAGCCCCGTGAACCCCCACACCCAGCATCAAGACACGAGCTATCGGCAGAAGAAGCAGCTGCCCGGCAAGCGAGTGCCGAAGCAGCAGAAGCCCAACGACTGTCCCGGGCTGAGCATGCGAATGTCGTCGAAACGCTGGCAGGCATGTTCCCAGATCTTGACAAGGAGGTGATTAGTGATGTGGTATACGAAAAGGAAGGAAGGTGAGTAATATGCATGATCCATCGTCTTTCGGTCAGCTCAGGCTAACACACCTTTTTCCAGGGTTGGACTAGCTGTTGATGCATGCCTTGCACTATCTACGTGATGAGGCTGAGGCGTGATGAATAAGCGGGGTTCAATGTTGCCATGGATAGTTATTGTTAGCTCTACTGGTGCTGTTCTTTGTTGGGCGATTTGCAAAGCATCACAGGGCTATCTGAGATATGCCGTTGGGGCAGATGGCAAGCTACAAGAGAAATATCACCATATCCAAAGCAAGCACATGTGCCTGTAACTGTGTTGTGTTGAGCTGGGTATCTGCGTCCCAAGTTGAGTGTTTCCAAGATGAACCAGGAAGGCCTGTAATTTGCATTCAATACGAGATGATCTCAATTCCTTGTAAAAGAGCACAGCCTAGCTGCATCGCCGTGTTGGTTTGAAGGCCCCCAAAGCAAAGCATCCTTGTCAACGGGCCGGTTGACTCATCTGGCCGGCTGAGCTCAGCCAAACAGAGAGGATGGAGGCGTTATATAAGCCCAGCCTGCTTCTATCAAGTATCCCAAATATTTACTCGACAGTATTCTACTATCAACCCAGTTTCAAACTCATCTTTTGCCCATCATGCCGCGAAAGCTCGTCACAGTCCGGCAAGTATCAGCCCTCACACCCATCCCCGGCGCCGACCGCACAGTAGCCGCCTCGGTCGACGGCTGGACATGTGTCGTCGCCATTGGAGAATTCAAGCCCGGCGACCGCGGTCTGTACTTTGAGATCGATTCCTTGCTACCCGGATCGGATCCCCGGTGGGCATTTCTGGCAAACCCCGCTCCGGACGACAACGGCCCCACACCGGACATCCGGATCAGGACGCGCCGGGTCCGGGGCGTCGTTTCGCAGGGCTTGCTCATGCCGTTGTCCGAGTTTCCAGAGGTGGTCGCCGCCGCTGAGGGACTCTCACCCGAGGAGCTGAAGGAGACTAGCTTCGAGGACATGCTCAAGGTCCGCAAGTTCGAGAATCCCTCGACGTTGTTGCCTGTCTTCGGCGGCGGCACTGCCTTACCCGAGTTTCCATACTTTATCCTCAAGACGGACCAGGAGCGTGTGCAAAACATGCCAGAGGTGTTTGACTCCCACGCAGACGAGGTGTTCCAGGAGACCACAAAGATGGACGGCTCCTCCATGACGGTGTTCTACGTCCGCGCCGACAGCCCCCACTACCCGCTCCTGGCCCCGGAGGTTGTAAACGATCCTACGGGTTGCTTCGGCGTGTGCTCACGGAACCGGACTCTTATCGAGGGTCACATAAGAAGTCCGCCGCTCTTCTGGTCCACGGTGCGGAAGCTCAACCTTCCCGCAACCCTCTCGGCGCTGGGTCGAAACGTAGCCATCCAGGGCGAGCTGTGCGGGTCTAGTATCCAAGCCAACTACGAGGGCTTTCCCAAGGACACCCACAACTTCTTCATGTTTTCTGTGTGGGACATTGATACCCAGCGCTACCTGCCCCCGAGGGAGGTACATGATGAGTGGGCGCCGCGGTTGGGTGTGCCGCACGTCCCTGTGCATGGATATCAGCTGTTGCGAGAGATTGGAGGGAGCGTGGCTGAGCTCGTCAAGCGGGCTGAGGGCAAGGGCGTCAACGGGAGGAAGAGGGAGGGCATCGTGCTAAAGCGAGAGGATGGCGGGTTCAGCTTCAAGGCCATATCGAACTCGTACCTGATCAAGCACGGGGAGTGACGGATACGATACGCCATTGAGGCTTCATAGAGCGCGCACCAAGTTACGAAGGATACCATTGACAGTGTTGCATAGTTAAAAGGTTCTATTGGACAAAAAGATGGTGATGCGCTTCCGTGGTAAATCAAAGTCTTTCGCTTCAATACCCCCCTCCGAAATTAATTCGGTCCCTCCCTACCCAAATTGTCTTTGTACATATAGCCAAGACCAGACTCTCTCTCTCGACAGACAAGAAAGGCTTGGCATGAGCGTCGTATGTACAAAGTAGACACGGGAATAGAAATACAAGAGTCATGGATCGTGAGGCTAAACTGCCACTGTCGTTCAGAAGCCTCTGTAGCCGCCCCCGTTTCCATACCCGTAAGATTGCCTGTTGAGAGGGCTGTATCCACCCGGACCGTATTCGTTGTCATAGCGCCCCATACCTGGTGGACTTGGCGCTCTATGGGCCCAGGCTACAGGAGCACCGCCGTGAGCGTGTTGAGAGTCGTTGTGGTCCATGGCGGTCAGGTCTCGGTAGTAAGACGGAGGGCTTGAAGAGTAGTCGTTTGCCCGCAGACCCTCCTCAGCAGCAACATAGTTGTCACGGGACATGGACCGTTGGTGCTGCTTCTCTTGAATGGGGGCTGAGACAGGGAACATGTTGATGCTAGTGTTGGAGTTGTCCTTGCGGTCGAGAAGGAGTGAGTTGCGGGCATCCAGAGGAGTGAGCGTGTCCATGTCACGCTGAGCTTTCTCTGCAAGTTGTTTGTCAGTATCAAAGTCATCCATCAGATTATGTTTAGTCAACTTACCCATCTCCTTTCTTCGCTTGCGGTGGGGGTTCTCCTTGACCAAGAGGTTGATGGCGTTCCAGATAATGAGGATCACCAAAAGACCAGTGAGAGCGGACTGCACGGCGATCAGAACCACGCCGGCAACCGTCTTGCTGTCTTGAGGAATGTTGAGCTCGTGGACAAAGATGAGAATGCAAGCCACCGACAGGACGCGCACAGCCTGGATGGCGATACCGATGATGTTGCCAGACTTGCGCTCAAAGGGTCGAGCCCAGACGAGCAGGATGAGCATGATGCTCTCAACGACGAGCTGGGCAATTGTCTGGGGCAGGCCGTTGCCATCGCCAACGGCAAGGGTGCAGCCCTTGGCGAAGAGGTAGACGATGGTGGGGATGAAGATCCACCAGTACTCCTTCTTGTACGACTCGTAAAAGAGAGAGTACTTGATCCAGATCTCCTTGTTCTGGTACAGGCCATCAGGGTTACCCTCGGAGTTCTTGAGCTTGCGGACGGTGCTGAAGATCTTCCACGTGAAGAAGGCAAGGATGGCGGTGAAGATGGCCAGCGTCACACCAGCCAGAGTCTTTGCCGCCCACGAGTCACCTTGGGTGAATTGGAACACGCAGTACAGAACCCAGATACCGTAGAGCACCAAGATAAGGTGAGTGATGGTTCGAGCGATGGAACCCCAGTAATGCTGACGGAAACCAGCCAGGGACTTGGGGAAGCTGGCGAACAGGGCCCAAACCTCGAGGATGACCTTGACCAGGAGAATACCGACAATGATAGCGGCAATGATGATGGCAACCACCAGCAGAACAGTCATGAAGGTGTTGGACTTGGGAACACTGTACTGCTGGACAAAGGCCGAGATTCCAGAAACGGAGATGACATTGGTAGCTCCAGACTCGCCAGACTCGGAGGAATTACTTGAACCGCCAACTGAAGTCTCCAGTTCATCACGGATGGCCAGTCTGGCCAACGACTCAAAAGTGTCGAAAGCTCGCTTGACTTTGAAAGAGTGCTGTTCCGGGGTGCTGGTCGAGTTGTCGGGGAAGACGAGGGTAGCGTTCTTGAGGAATTCAACGCTGTCTGTGGTGAGGTCGCCTCCTGTCATGCTGCGGAAGTTGTCGATGGAGATCTGAATCTGCTGCCAGGGGATGATACCGGCCGAGAAACCAAAGTTCTTGACGAAGCTGCGGTACACAGGCGGGTAGTCGACTGACAGCATGCCGTTCATGGCCATGCCCTGGAACCATCCCAATGTCTCTGCGAAACTGGGACTGGGGATACCACCACTGGCAGCGCTAGCACCACCAAGAGCAGACGATGCGGCCGTGGCACCAGAGACGACGAGGGCGGCTCCAATGACACCAACAGACAGGTAGGTTACGGCGTTGACCGAGGCAGTCTTGCCGTTTTGGACTTGAGATTGAATACAGGCAACCTGCTCATTGTCGTCGTCGAGGCTCAAGAGCTTGAGAGTCGCTTGAGCAGCAATATCGGGGACCTGGAAAGCGATGGCAGGGACCTTGTTTGCCCACTCAGCGGGGATCTTCTGAGTGCCCTTGGCAGCGAAATGGTCAGCGGGTACGGGGCAGAGCTGCTTGATACCCTGTTCGCAAGGGTTGAAGCTGTTCTGATAGACTTGGCGGCCATATGCCGTCACTTCGAGCCAAGCAGACACGTTCCGTCTCGTCTTGCTAGTGCCGGCCACATCAAAAGTAACCTCCTGCTTGTCGTTGTCGTAGCTAAGGTTAAGCCTCTCAACCGTGATATCGGGAACGGTACCGCAGTCTGAGAAGCCAGAAGTCTTGAGAACATTGTCACCCAGAACGCCAGTGACGAGAGCCGCCGCCGTCGCAACCACCTTCCATGCGCTCCACTGTGAGTGAGATCGAGTCATTTTCGAAGAAAGTGTCGTACAAGGAAACTAGAGAAAAAGACGGGAAATTCGTAACTCGTTCGCGACTGGATCGAGTTGTTGGGCTTCGAAAAGTGTTTGTCGTCAGGGTATAGTCAAGAGACACAGTTGAGTAGTGATATCCAAGAAAAATTGATATGGATAGCGGAAAAGAAACCGAGAAATAGTTGAAAATCGTTGGAGGATGATGTAAGGAATGGTATCAAGACGATAAAATAGAGATGTAGAGAGACTGTAGCTGAAGAGCTGTATGTATAATGAATGTCGGAGATGCAAGTTATCTCAAAGGTTAATGGCAAGGCAGTGCAAGCACGCGCAAAGATGGCCGAGGATCAACCTGGAAAGAAAAGAAGTGAAGGGGCAACGAGTTGCCTTGACGCCCGTGAAGTTCCAACGTGCCGGCGTTTGATCGTTCGTGGGTGTCGTGTGTCGTGTAGGTGCTGAGTGAGGGTGTCGTGATGTGCGGGCGACCAGTCCGCTTATAAGGGAGGGTCGGGGCTTTTTTCGAGTCTGTCTAACGGATGGGATGGGCCGATTGGGCGCGTTATGTGATGCTGAAATGAGAGGCCAGTAGTCGACAATGCCGCAAAGGAAGCAGCATGTCCTTCTTTGGACGGAAACAGTTGCAAAGAAAGACAGTGAAAAATGAGAGAGAAACGACGCTTTAGAGGTTTGTACAATGCAAAAGACCAATGTGATGAGAGAGAGAGAGATGATGAGAGGAAAGAAAGAGCAAGAAGAGGGAAAAAGAGGAGAAGCCCAAGAGAAGAAAGGATAAGACAAGACGAGACAAGGAAGAAGACGAGAACTAAACTGGGATCCCAACCCAAAGGTGGAGGAGGTTCCAGGTTCTGAGTGAGGTGCGATCCATCAGGAAGGAGGGTGGGAGGCGTCCCTTCCGATTGATAGACGCCCCAAACAGCAAAGGGCCTCCAGTTCACGGGCAGGAGCCAACCACCAGCGGGGGAAGCTACGACCTACGCCTGGAGTCGCCGCAGTCAGCAATCAACAACAGCAACCATCCATCCAGTCAGTGGACAATCAAGCAATTCGACCATCCTTGAGCGTGAGAACGGTTCTGTCGAACCACCACCGACGACGGATCGAACCCCTGAGACGCCAACCCAAGATCCCTGACCCGCTTGCCAGGGGTGCCCCCTCCCACTCGTGGAGCCTCAGTGGACCATAAGCCAGGGGCTCGCATCAAGGGTCCTTGGCTCCCTCAAGGCACACAGCACGCTCAACTGGTTTTTGCTTGCTTCCAGCGGCTCTTCTGCCCGTCCAAGCAGGTTCTTTCAAGTCTAGGGATGCAGGGGTTTGACCCTTTGACCCACAGAACCCGACCCTCCCTCTCAGACGGTGGCTTCTGAGCGGCTGACCAGTCCCAGGCCAAGACGCGGTCGACCCCAGCTTCTTCTGAAACCAGCTTGGGAAGAAGAAAGCTGTTCCCAGCCAGCCAGAGAGCGGTGGACTTGGCTTTGCTCCACATGCTTATTCAACGTCTGTTCGGGTTTGTGGGTGGTTGTGCATGCACATCTCGTCTGTCGTCTCAGCTCATGTGCCAACATCCATCATCACGAACCGGTTATACGAAGTAGTTTTCGGGTTTCTCCTCGCTCTCTGTGAACCAAAGATGAACAGAATGTCTCTGGAATATTGATCAGTATGATCCAACCACTCAATGTCTCGAGCCGCCAAGTCTCAACCTCGACTCGACTATCCAACCAACCTTCCAGCATGAAATGATCTTCAAGCCTCCCGACCGCAAAATCCAAGCACCCATGCTTCATCCATGAAAGTCGAGAATTGCCCCGAGCTCTCGTCAAGGAATAATCCGTGTCCAACCTCGGCGCCCTCCCCCTTGCGTCGAAATCACGTCTTCCTTTTCTGCAGGTACAGGCCCACGCGGCATCAAGTGCTTCAAGCCGGTGTGTTCCACACATATTGCGTCCCAGGTTGCCCTGTCTATGGAACACAAGACGAATGATAAACCTCTGTGCCGCCTTTCCGTCCTTGTTGTCATCAAGAAAAGGCAAACCAGACGCTCGGGAGGAAGCTACGCTACGATGCCACCGTTGATCGTAGTTCAGACACTCGGCCGTGTCAAGTCATGTCGCCACTGACTCGATGTTCCATCACAGACTTGTCAGCGTCTCAGCAGCCGCTGCTGCAACTTTAGCTCAACAACTTCTGTGTACTTGTGCTCGTGCTCTGGCCGATCTCTCAAAAAGAATGTCACGAGTCCTCGGCCCCGAAAAGGGAGACCGGGCACCGACTGAAGCCGACCCTGTTCGGTCTTTGATGAACCCAGCGCCGCCACCACCGTCGTCGTCGCCAACGTCCATTTATTTATCCATAGATAGAAACATTGATCCATCCATCTATCATCTCCTTACTCAGCATAGTATGGCATGGCCAGGGTTGACGCGGCCATTGCAAATCTCGGTAACCAACCCAGCCACAAGCATCCTTGCTTGGCCAGACTCGGTCACATTTCTCGATTGCCTTGTTGTATCCGTAGATATTACCTGCTAAACAGAGAATGTCGCGTAGCAGTAATGGCACACGCGAGCAGATGAACAGAGAACTAATTACAACAAGCTAGTCGGTATCAGTCTGCTCAATCTCTCTCATCTCATGAGACCACAAAATAAGCCAGATTTTTTTTTTAACGCCCATCAACCTCAAACGCCCGGCCGATTTCACATACGGCCCAAGCGCCTCCCAAGCGTATCCCAACTCTATTCTCCACCACACGCTCTCAGAGTCCATATGGTCCATGGAATCCACAACCGCCCCCCCAAGCCCCCTTTTGAGACGAAAAGCTTGGCTTGCAATCGCCCTTTTTAGACCCAGGCTTCGTCATCCATTGCTCACGCGAGAGGCGTGTTCCCGCTGAGCCTCCCATGTCTTCCCCATCTCGTGCCGCAGCTGGTATATTTAGCAATGCCAAGTGCAGATCATAGAGTCCAGATGTTATCGCTGCAAAGATGCAATTTGACATTTTCATTCATAAATAAGACCCTGACGCCAGCTTTGTATCCCTTTCTCGTCTTGCTTCGTCTCGAATCCCTCCCTATCCAATGTCATGCCCCTATGGTGCCGTTCCAGATTGCTCTGCCTAAAAGCTTCGAGTCATCCGTCGCCAACACCTTCGCCTCCCAGAAAACCAAAACCCCCAGAAAGAATCCAAGAAATCTAGTCGGCTCAAGAAAGAAACAGGCTCTCGCCTATAAGCCCAAATCATCGTCCGTAAGAATCGTCATGGTATCCCAAATACATTGCCATCCTCCCCTTCTACACTCATGGTCTGGCGGTGCCGCCAGACATAATAATAATCCCCAGATCCCGCTTCACTTGTAGACAATGCGAGCCAGGACAGCCGCAGTCATCACTCGTGTCGGGTCTCGGGCTAAACATCCTCTCGCTAATATCCAGGCATCCGCCCATCGCTCCACATGTTTCCGCCATTGTTGTTGTTGTTGTTGGCATTCAAGTTTGGTGAGTGCGAATAAGGCGATACTGATCCCTGCCCACTAAATGGGCTTCCATTGCCGCTCGACGGATCCATTATCCCGTCGTACCCCATCTGTTGCATCGGTACCCCGTGGTTCTGCTGGAGCCCAAGCGCATTCATTTGGGTGTAGGATTCTACCCCGTTGTTCGGCATCATATAGCCGTTAGGGCCTTGCTGCACGTAGCCCCCTTGGCGGCCAACAGGCATCTCCTGCATCTGCGCGGCGTGGTTAAAGCCGCCGTGGTTAATAGGATGCATCCCCATCTCCGCATGCGGATTGGGCCCGACATTGCCAAATTGGTCCTGGTAAAATCCAGGGGGTTGTTGATATGCATCCGTCGGCATGACTGGCTGGTAGATCAGGTGGCCCGGTTGCTGAAATACCATCGGTTGAGTACTTGGTGGAAATCCGCCACAGGCCGTAGGGAATTGCATATCAGAACCGGTTTGGTCGACAGGTGTTGTGAGGATGTTTCGTGGAGGAGGATCCTGAATTGGGCTGATGACAGTGTCTGCTTCGAGCTCGCTGGCCTTGGCATCCACCAGACGCAGCACCGGCAGTGATATTTGCTCCATGTGGTTTGCCAGGTGAACCGTCAGCTTCTTCCATGTCGGGAACGTCTTGCCACAGAACCTGCAGGGCTCATCTTGTGGCCGCTTCGATGTCTCTCGGTGGCACTGCTCAACCTTTTGCCATGTGGGCTCTGCACCGCCTGCCTTCTTTATCGCGGCTTTAGTCTTGACCCTTGGCTCAGGATACTTGTGCTCTCGCACGAGATGCTGAAGGAAGTTATCACGTCGGTAGCACTGGTGATGACAAGCCTCAACATCGCAAGTCCACCATTCAAGATGGCGATGTCCTTCGTTCTCATGTCGAACCCAGTCAGCCTTGCGCTTGAACATCTTCGGCTCCCTGCACTTGTCCCAGGTGCAAGTGAAGGGTTGAACATCCTCATGAACATGCTTGGTCCAGTCAGAGGGTTTCGTAAACTTCTTGCTCGTGTAACAAAGCTGGCACTCAAACTCGGCCGGCAGGCGGCTGGTCGGAGGCATGGGAATATCCTGGCGGAAGCTCTCGTTGTTAATGGCACCCTCAACCGGGGTCCCATCATCGATATCGTTGGGTGATGAGAGAGGATCCAACTCTTGAGGGCTATTGTTTTGGTCGAGAAGAGCAGCCGAGCCACCTCTAGCGATGCACAGGATACCAGAAGGGCACTTGGCACCCAGCCCGAGGTGTGTAACCTTGTTCTTGAGCAAGGACTTATAACGTTGCACTTGTTGATAAGCAATACGATCAACAAGATAGTTATTGGTGTTTGCCAAGTCAGGATTCAGATCAATGATGTGCTGCTGGAACCCTTCAAGGTTGGGAGTGATGTTGTCAATGATGTTCGGGTTTGTCTTCATGTCGGCTTCATCCAGGTCCTCGTCATCGTCGTCTTCATCGTCATATTCCATATTCTTGGTCTTGGCCAAGGCGGCGACGGGTGGTCCTCCCGTCTCACGCTTCCACATCGACACCAGAGTCGGGTGGCTATCTGTCTGCAGGCTGGCTGGTGTCGGCTTGGGGAGATCCGACTTGCTTCGTTGTCGTCGGATGGAGCCCTTGATAGAGAGGCTACCAAAGGGACTCTTCGGCGAAGTCACAGATGCCACAGGTGTGCCACTAACGGATCCATTGCGGGCGTGCGTAGTTCCGATGGATGCAATGTTGCTACCCATAGAAACTATAGCCGTATTGATCGAGGGCATGGGCTTCTTGCCCCAACTTCCCATGCGGACCGGTGGCGCAAGACTTTCGCGTTTGTTGGAGATGCTATCGCGCTTCGAGTCTTGGCTTCCTCGGCTATCGTTGCTTGGTATACTCTCATCGTCGTTCCCGGTGCGGTTACGCTTGAGGATCTGAGAGGTACTAGGCCGACGCACCAATGTTCCAAGACCCCTGAGCAGGCCACCAGGCTTGCTCCCCTTGTCTCCTCGGCTCACAGAGAGCTTCTTGAGAATGCCACCGCTGGTGACTTCGGACATGTCAAGGTCAAACAGACTAGGGAGACTTCGCCGGCGGGTACCCCACGTGGCGGCTCTTGAGATGATTGAATCAGTGTCTCGGCACATTCTCTCAAATCTTTCCATGGCAGCCGCTGACGTTTCTGGTTGATGTTTCCCATCTGCTCCGTTTCTGATGCCATGCATTATTGGAGCATCGGCCCAGTTCCGGTCAGCAGCGATCATGTCGTAGTCTGTCTGGTTCATTTCGCCTTTGCCGTGATAGTAAGCCTGGCCAGGGATGACCCTGTTTTCGGTCTGGCGGTTGAATGGGACCCCATCCTGAGCATCATCGCGTGGGCGATTAAGCTCATTGATAGTCTCCTGAGACGTCTCTGTCGGCTGAACAGAAAGGTCGTTCATCTTGTTGGTCAACCAATCACCAACCATTCCCTTCCGCTCCTCGTCGTTTCGCTTGGTGGCCAGCTCATTAATACTTGGCGTCTCCTGCGAGGTTCGGTTGTCGGGGTCCAGCCCAGCATGTCCAGTCACTGAGTTGCGCTGCCATTGCCCTGTGGAGTCACGGGGTGCGGAATTGTCGCTTGAGGATATCAAGTCCCCGGCCGACTCAAACCCGCCGCGAACTGTAGTTGGGCTATCCTCAAAGGAGCGTTCGATAGAGGTATGAAGAGGGGTCTCATCATCCTTACCCCACATCGAGACAGTAACTCGAGGACTAGTCATGGCACCGACACTGGGCGCCAGGCCGTCTTCGCTGGACCGGCAGCTGCTGCTCTGACTGGGTGTCAAGGATGTCTGTGTGACAATGGGAGGCGGGTTGAACTGCTTCTGGATCACCTGTGGCGAGATGCAATTGGGAAGCTCTGGAGGGGCCGATCCCTTGATCGCGTGGGAGAGGTCACTCTGAGGGGTTCTTGTGTGCACTGACGCCGTTTGTTCGGGAGTCAATGGATTGTAGTTGTTGATGTCCACATCCTGACCCGACACAAGACCGGGAGAAATAGACGGGCCAAGCACGGTCTGGTCTCCGAGGAAGATGGGGTCGACTCTCTCGAAGTTGTTGAAGTCGGCGCCGAAGAAAGGGTCCTCTTCAAAGTCGCTATAGTCACTGGGTTGGTACTGGTCAAGGCTGGAGTTGGAGCCGGGGGTCTCGAGGTAGTTGATGGGCGACAGCGACTCGCTATCGATGCGCGACAGGGTGGGTGGTAGTTGGTTCGAGTCGATGGAGGAGGTCGATGGGCGTTGTTGCTGGCCAGGGAAGGCTTGAGTATGGGGGTCTTTGACCTCGAATGTGGAAGCCATGGTTGCGACTGGGAGGAGAGGGAGGAATGGGAGTATATATGCAATGAGTGGATCTTGACTGGGCGTGCTCCCTCTGTCAGATCACAGGCTGGGGATCATGGTCCTGGGGACCGGTGCGCGGAGGTGGGAGGTGGATCGGCTCCGTTGGAGAGCGATCGTGGCTGCAGAACGAGGCCCGTCAAGGTTCAGACAGGTCGCGACGACTAGGAGAATGCAAAGAACAAGAGCCGCCGGTAGGGTTGAGAGTGACAGGTGAAGGAGAACAGTATTCCCTTGAAGCTGGGTTGAGAGGAAGAAGGAGGGGGAAAGGGCTGAAGTTGGAACGCGGCGTCGCGCGTGAAAGCGGATCAAAGAGCGCTTAGGGGCGCCGATGCCCCTGCTCAGTTCAGGTAAGGTAGGTTACTTGACCCAGGACAGCGAACCCACAGAAGCAGGAGACACAAGAGATCGGCGCAGGATTGTGGCGCGCAGGTTCAAGCAGACGGGAGGGATTGAAGCAGCAGCAGAATGTGCAGAGAAGCGAGGCGAGTGAGTGAGTGAGTGTCTTGTTGAGGGGCAGCTGGCAGGGGAGATGTGGGAGGGGGGTTTCACTGGAAATGGAAGCCGGCGTCTGTGATATGGGCGGAGGAGGGGCTCTCGACTGAAGTGAGAGCAAATCAGAACAGGCCAGAGTCGGCGGCGCAGGAACAATACTGTGCAGAGGCTGACTGGAGGGCAGACACAAAAGCGACTGTGGCAGAGGCGAAGGTGGATGAAATGAGGCTTGAACAGTGAGAGCCGGCGTTTTGATCCCAAGAGAAAAAGACGAGGGCGGTAAGGTCGTGCGGTAGTTGGTCCAGAGCGAGGGGCGTTGCAGGCGCAGGCGTGACATCCATCCATCCATCCAATACTGTACAGCCTGGTCCGTCCCCTTGCTTGTGCGAGCCATGCTGGAGAGCAGAGGACCAGCGGGTGCCCAGTCGCAGGGTTAGAACCGCCGGGGAAACGGTCGTTTGGTGTCTATTGCAACCACAGACCACAGCTGGACGGGACTCTCGCATCAGGCTCGCTGGAAACGGTATGCCTCTATCGCCCGTATCCATCTCCGCTAGGCGTTCTGGATGGGGGGGCCTTGGAGCCGAGGCGCATTCAACCCAGCCCCACGCCCCATGAGAGACCCTTGTTCCAGCCCGTCCATCATCCAACCATTCAGAGCCTCTGGCCCATCTCCCAAGGCGTTTTCCAATGCCCCGACTTGGGAACGGGTCAACCACAGCTGGTGCTTTGTGTGTGCGTGCGAGGAACACCAGTTGCGGCGGAGCTTGTCTTGGTTCGAATTTGAACGAGGCAGGACAGGGGGCGCCTTTTGGGAACCATTACAGAGCAGACTGTCGTACCAGACACACACACCTCAAGCGATGCTCTGCAACCCTAGCGTCGGGGGGGAGACTCCATCAGCCTTGTAGGGTTTTTCTGATGTCACTGCTCTGCTGCCGGCGTGAGACGTGTCTCGGCGACGAGGCACTTTTCAGTCGGTTGTCGGCTTGACCCTGCCTCCCTGTTTCGACCAAGCATCCTTTGTTTGTCTATCACCGCTCCCAGGCATCCGAGCTAATACCATGGCGATGGCCTGCAGGTATCAGGCAGAAGCGGTGCCATTCTTGTTGATTCCCTGCTTGAGGAGATACATCAAACTTGACGCAGTTTTTCCACTTTATGGTGCGGCTGAAACTGGAGTTGATTGAGGAGGGACACAGCCTCTCGCCTGTGCTGCGCATGCATGGCGCGATAGGTCTATCGTCTTGTCGATCACCGCTCACCAGCTCCTCTTCTAGGGCATGATTTCTGGAAGTCTTCCCATGTCAGCAGCGGCGTTTCTTTGAACCTCTAGGCAAGCCTCGGTAGCACCACCGTCAGATTTCATCATTGCCAGACCATTGTCTGGGAAACATCGGCGGTCTCCATGGACATGCTCTAATGCCACACTGTCCATATCAAGGGGTGCGAAAAGCGCCTTGCGCAGCATGCGTTGTCCTGGCAGGCACTTGCTTGCGCGAGGTTGCGGATCTTGCATGCAGTGGTTTACGCCCGATTAACGTTTGAACAAGAATCTCGCGGTCGCATGGTTGGTGGATCTCGGGGACTGTGGGCAACTGGTCAAGCTGAAAATAGTCTCAGGAATAACCTAGACCAACTCCGTCGACCGCAATGATTCAAATGTGACGTCGAAGCAGGTGTCTCTGCAGCTTTCCCCAGTTTTCTCCCAGCGGTCCTGTCAAGAAGTCATGATGAGCTCCTGATTGGGCAACGATGCGCAACCTGGAAAGCGCTCAATCGTGATGCAAATGTGCCAAGATGTCAGTCCCTGTCAAGGTCGGGAGTAGCGCGACCCCGAGCGACGGGTTGTTACTGAGTCCAAGCGTCTGGAGTCACAAGACTCGGGCGATTGACTGCCAGGCAGGCCAAGTACAAATAAACCCACGAACCAACCTCGAGGCTGTGTAGCAGAACCATGGCAATTGGGTAGAGGAATTCGAGATCGAGTTGAGAGTTGTCTGCTGCCGAGTTGTTGAGTGTGAGATCAAACGGGGGCAGTGCTCCGTCAAGCACAAGCCATGCGGAGATTTGTTTATCTGCCGCTCGGCTCTGTCATATCGAAAACATGGATGTCCTGCGAATGGAATGAAGCGCCGAATGTTGCATTCATTTGCAAGTTCATGTGTCGTCCCTGGTTATTGATCGTCGTGACTTCTAGGTTGGTTCATGTGGCCATCCAAGAAGGTCCCCGACCTTCTCTGTGAGGTGCCCGAATTGCCGATTGCACGTGACGATATTTCGTCCGGGCCCGGTCCTTCCTTCCGAATGTCGCGCCTGATATGGCGCCCATGACACCTTTGGCCCGCTAATCCGAATCAAGCAAATCCATCTTCAACTTCACTTCTTCTTCTTCATTCAACGTCGATGCGTTGATTGTTGTCCTGCGCCCAGCTCCATCACCTCTAGATTCTGCATTTTGGCGAATCGTGCACGTCCTCTGTTTCTGCTGTTTTCTCCTCACTTACCTACGCCCGAGGGGCTTTGCTGCATCCTTACGCTGCACCGTGCTGTAGCTCTCGTGCGACTCCCGTTGTCGCTGTGCCCATCATGTTCCAGGTCCGTGACCGAATAACCCGCGAGCACGTATCTGCCAGAATGCTTCTGCTGACCAGTAGTTGCTGTATAGCCCAATCCAGATGAACAATTTCACCTGCGCCTCCACAGGGCGCGGTCTGTCGTCTTGACAACTCAAGAGTAGGTGGCTTTCTGCCGCAGACATAGCCTTGATCCAGATCTCTTGTCCGAGAGCAGATGGATCTGGCCACAGGCTTCTATCTCCTTGGCACTTGGCTTGGAAGTCCTGTGGGGGTTTCTACCCCTCACTCCCGTAACCCTGCCCCTCGTAATGCTCATCTCTAACCTGTCGGTGTCTCGTCTAGGCTCGTGGAGATTCGAGCGGCTCAGCGCACGTTCGAAGGCGCATACGTTCGCACAGCCCTAGGCCAATTCTCATTTGCCTTGATCATTCTCAAGATCTTTACTTCGGAGTTCTATGCCATCGGCGCTTTATTCGCAGTGTATGGAGTGGCAGTGATGCTGGTGGCTATCTACCGTCGTTATGAAGGCAACCACCAATTCTTCAATTCCGAGTCACCTGATGGAACACTGAAGCGCAAATTTAGGACGAGCGGGAACAGCGTTTTGCTGCTGACAGTCCTCAGTCTGAGTGCTTACGTGACGTTGATGGTGCTCACATGGCGTCTGGTTTCATAGTGGCGATTCGTGGCGGGTTTCCTGTCAGTTATTCTGATGATTGCTATTAGCATCATGTGGAGGAGTTTTACCATGTTCACTTGGGGGGGCATAGTGATGTTGCTTGGTTGGGTTCCTGGATACTTTTCATTCCGGCGTTATCGTATTCTCATTATCCATCAACCTGAATCTCGAGTGCTCCAGTATCACTCAACTAACTCGAAGCAAGAAAGGCACCTGTGCCAAGCGTCGCCGCTTCGATTGAACTAGCCTATACCACACGATGGCGATAACGGCAACGGGGTTAACAAATCCCAGCCCCATCACCCAGGGGTCCCAGTACGTCAAATGCTGCTCAGGCATCGTCACCAGCAGTGTCCAACCGGAAGCAATGGCGGAGACTGTCAATGCTCGCTGGGCCATCCAGAAGTCGTATTCGGGCATGCCTGGTGCTTCATCTGAGAAGACGCAGATGCATTCGGGTAGGCAAAGCGCTCTTTGAGTGCGTTGACCATAGTATATCACGGTCTTTTCGATTTCCTTGCAGGCTTGTGCAAGGAGATGGTCCACGCATGCAGCGAAGAGGTGTCCCATGGCGCAGACTTGGCGGTGGCTGATAAAGGTGCTTGAATGATGGTGAGCTTCAGAAGGAACACGATTGATAAAAGCGTTGAAGGAGGCTCACTCTGTTTTTTTTGTATGCGTTGATCTCTGTGGTTATCTTGGAAAGAAGTTCTGTGCGTGCTTGATTGTGGTTTGGGTTGGATATGAGGTCGTAACCCTCGGGATATTGAGTTTTTAGAATCACGTTGCCACCAAACACTCATGAAAATGCATTTAAACACCGTGTCCAAGTAAACGGCTTTCGTGCCCGATTGCAATCCTGAGTCATGCAGTGCAATTGAATTGGCCATGCCTCGCAAACCAGCGCTCAGTTGGGTCCGTGATAACATCAATGGTGTTGACCCTTGATACCCTCAGCTTTCAGCTGTAATACTTTAAGAATGGTACGGACCCCATCAAACCAATAAAAGAGCGAGTAGACTGCAAATAACAAGAGAAAAGTACCCATCATTGCATCGCATTCATCCCGTCCCTGCTGAAATCCAAACTTCCAATAGGTCCCTGGGGCACGTGCCTGAGCCCGGATCCGCTACCCTCAACCAATCCTTTTGCCGCCGACATGGGAGATATTGAATATGGCGCCTGCTGTGAAACTTGAAATATCGGACCATGGAAATAAGATGAGCTCTGCAGCTTTGATCATGAAAAAGAAACGAGTTGAGACCGTTTGACTGCGCCTTGGTGGAGTAACGTTACGGCGCCAGCGCGTGATGATTGAAATTTTTGATCAAGCCTGATGTTCAAATGCTTCATTAAACGCCATGGGGACCAGTACAGATGCTGCATGTTTTGATAGTGCATCTTCCTTGTCCAGTCATGCATCCATTGCGGTGCCCTCCCTCTCATGTGGTTTGCCAGCCTGCCATGCTCCGCCAACGTCCCCCCAACACAGACGGCCCCCAACAAGCGGGACCAAGCATGAATCAGCTCGTCCAGCAATTCTTTGTTCCGTAAGAGTCGGTGGGTGATTCTCACATGAAAGCCCACAGGCCACCGATGTCCGATTGCAAGCTCGACCCCTGCAGTGCCTGTCCAGTTCGACGAAGGTGACGCAGCCGGTGTCGCTTTGAAAGAACGAGGGCAAGCCAGGCGACGCATATCACACAGATCGGGTTGACAAACACCAGACTTATGACAACTGGGTCAAGTATCGTGCCCTTTATGGGTATCCCGATCCAAATGCCGATAGTAGAGAAAACCCACGAGAAGCCGAACATGATAGCCGCCATGCGCATGTCACTGTCCAGCATGCCTGGGTCTTGTTCTGAAAAAGGTCGAAGGTATTCCGGGAGTCGCATTTTTTCTTGAAATTGTCTTCCCCTTGCTATTATCGCATCTCGTCGTTTCTGGATGACATAGTACTCAATCATGGCAACGTAGAGACTGAAGAACCCCCTGCAGAGGATCTGCCCGATGAGTTCCCCACAATCGTTTGACATGGTTTAAAGAGTGACCTTGGTTGATTGATTCGCACGATGCTCGTCAAAATTCGTAAGTTCGCACCTGAGCCTCGACCGAGGCCAATAGTGATGGTGTAGGATGGATGTTGTCTGGAGGTTTTTCGTTAGGATTGCCTGGAGACAAAAACGAAGGACTGTCTCTACCAGAATTAAATAACCATGGCTTGTATTTGTACACTTTACCGTCGGGGACAAAAATCAGGTGCCTAGCAACGAGAGAGTTTAAAGGTGCATAATTGTTGATCACGACTGAGCACCCATTTTAGGCCCTTGGAACACCAGCGTGACGGAAGCATAATTCCGACGAGAGCAACTTAGTACCGCCCCAGACGCTCCAGCAAATGAGCCCAGTTTATCACCAATGGATGCCTCCATACCCAGGCGTCCATTGAAGGACATCAACCTTGAGCTCATCACTGTCACTCCTTCGCTGAACCTGAAGCCAACTGCCCGAGCACAAAGTTTTCGGGAGTCCCTACCTCCATGAATGATACCGGCTGCAGTTCAGACATTCGGTTGCTCTTGTATCAGTAAGTTCCTTCAGTGGATGGAGCATGCGACATTCATCCGAGGTAGTTGCAACGTTCATCGTGGAATGAGTCTAGGAAAGATGCATCCCTGGATGCCCACCCACTCAAGAAAAGAACCAGGAAAGCGCATTTCTGACTCTTCGAGCACTCGTTCGGATAGACAGAGGCACCTGACAGTCCCGAGCCGGAGGCTAAGATCGATAGCCAACGCCAACTTCAGGACGGCCCAGATATGGTTGACTACAAACTCGACGGATGAGTTATAGAATGATACTCGGCGCATGTCTGCATCCATGTTCTTAGGCATACCAATTTTATGTGAGGTTTTGAACAGGCCGGACTGACTACCTCCCCCCTACTGTGGTGATTCTTTCTTCAACTGGATGAAACCTCAACCTTCACCTTCCCCCGACTCGATGTTTCTTTCCTTCAAGGTGTTATCATGAAGAAGAGTGCTCTTTCCAACCATTCATGGTTCGATGAGAATAAAACTCCCTCCGAGATGGGAAGAATCTTCTTCTTCTCTTTTGCTTCTCCATACCAACATGGATATCACAGCGTTAACAACAGCGATTACCCTCCTCCCCCTCCCCTCCATCCCCAGTGCCGCTCAGGTGGCCAATTTTTTGTTCCAGATGGGCCTCGCAGCCCTCCTCCCGTGGTGTCTCCGAACCTGGCTCAAGCATATGGTGGCTCCGGACATCGACAACGTCCCACTGGATTTTCTGGTGGAGTGGGCAACACGGTTCGGTGTATACCTTCCAGCCGGCTTCTTAGGCGTAGCTACGGCGGCCTTCGTTGACACATGGAAGCCCACGATCTGGTGGTGGTGATCGACAGTGCTTGCACTCGGGGTACGGTCGAAACAGTGATCCCACTGAGACATCATGTCATACTCTTTGGAACCTTTTCACCTTGGAGCGGGCTTTGATGGTTGACTGTAGCTACCTTGACATTGCACTCTGTCAGGTAGTCCGACCTCATCCCAACCCTGAGCTTCTGGTATTACACTACCTCCAGTTTGCTCTTGGCCTCTCTCCCATGTTTATCATGGTCCTTCCCGGCTTCGTTGGCGACAGAATAACACGGTTTCAGCTCTCGTCGATCAAAAGGTACGTCTCAGATCTGTTCTGCTTCAACCTGAGTAGTAACACACTCCAGATTGCACACACGGAACCCCGAACCCCGAAAGAAAGAAGCTTCACGATTGGCAAATGGAAAGGGCGTGTGGGCTTGTTGTGCGTGGGAGGTGATCAGAACTTGGTTGAAGCTGTGGTTGGGACTGGAGTTGGACGGTGGAGCTGGCGAGAAGTTTGGAATTCGAGGGTTTGTCTTGAGACTTCATGGGTGCGCACTTATGGAGGGCATGGCAAAAAGGAATCCGGCTGGTGTCAGAGGGGTCGAATCAATGTACAAGTCCATCACAGCCTCATTCTGTTCCATGATGTCGATGGTGGTAATGGGGATGCGTTTAAAAATTCAGACACTTGGAACTGGTGCTTCCAAATCCCATGTCAATGGTGAAAGTTTGAGGGCGAGTCCCTGAATGCCAGGTGAGGCGGCCTCCGACAATGATACATGTTAGTTGGGATGAATAATTGCTGCAAGGCTTTTGTCAAGCCTGCTGGAAGGATATTTGATCTTTATCAAAAGATTGTCATAAATCATCATGTGCTCAGTAACGACAAAGTTTAACAGTGCAGCCTGGCTCAACCTTGAGGGACTTCAGGATCGTGGAAACATCTTCTAGACAGACCACCATCTAAAAATGGGTATTAATCTCTATGAGATGCCTTTCCCCCCATATCGCTACCTGGCATAAAACATTCTAACTACGGGGGCGCATGTCCAACGCCAGATGCCCCAGTTTTGAAGGCCTTGATGAGCCCTACTCCCAAGCCAAAGCAAGAAAACCAGCCACAATAAACCAATGCTCAGAAACGACAACGCCTAAACATGCTCCTGTACTGTGAACCCGTCATTATCGGTTCTGGTAAATGCCAGCTGTGCCATTATCGGTGAGTTGGTGGCTGGTGTCAACCGCCTGTAGTTGGTGACCTCGCCCCCTCTCCCCGTACATCCAGGCGCCGTAGGCCTCTGAAGTCCGCGGGAAGGTGTAGTTGGCTTGTGTTTGTGATTGATCCCAAGTCTCAAAGCCGGTCGGGGGCACTGCTCCGGCCGAGAGAGGAACAGCCGTATCCATACTTGTCGTGGTACCTGCTTCAAACCCCGGAACCATGCCATCCATCGCCGGAGTGTAGACGTCGGATAACGTAGAAGATCTCCGCTCGTATTGTCGGTTGGGGGCCATCAGATGATACTGAGGTGTATGGTGGCCAGGCATGGGCTCGCCACCATAGGACATGGATCGTACTGGGGGCGCGTAATGAGCCCAGGCCATGTCTTCGCGAGAGGGTGGTTCTGAGCCTCCAGATGCCCAACCAGCCGACGCTGGAGACACAGAGAATGGGGAGAACTGGGCACTAATGGGCGATTCTGCTGGGTAAGATCGCCAAGTCGGGTTGGGCTCTGCTGTTTTTGATGTTGGGCTCTGGGATGAGTCTGCTGGCACCCAGGTAGGTACGCTTTGGTTACCCATCTCAAATGCAGGAACATTTGTCGACGATGGTAAGGACACTTCGCATCCCTGTTAGTATCATGTGCCCCATGGTTCGAGGGAGATGACTGACCTCTCATTTCAGCTGGGAACCCCTCATTTCTAGGAGCTTCTGTAACTATTGGAACTGTAACGGGCGTCACTTGTACTGCTGAAGGGCTAAAGGGCTGCTTCGATGGCTTAGGCCGCTCCGGTGGATTGCTAGTAGATGCCGCTGGCGATGATGAGGCAGAAGATCCCTTAGGCCCGGCCGAAGATCGAGAGGATTGCTTCGCTCGTGAGTCGTCCGGTGGCTGATCTACCGGATAAAAACTGCATTCCTTCTTCAAACGGATGCAGTTTATGCATCGACCTTGGATATCAGATGGGGATGGGATACATCTGATCTTTCGACGCCGACAATGGCCTTGAGTGGGTTAGCCAAAGGAGAGGACGACAAACCAGAGATGAGACTTACCACAAGCTACCGAGGTGCGATGATATCCGAGCTTGTTTCTCTTCTTTTCTCCCGAGGTACCCATTTGTTGTTGCTGAGCATCTGTTTCCGGCTGGTGTAGAGGCGCAGCGCTTGACGTTGAAAATGGCCCCTTGATGCCCATGTTGTGGTCTTGACTGGGCAATGGTGCATCATGGACATTGGCCATACCCAAGGAAGAAAGCTGCTGTTGTGAAGGGACAGTGTAGGATGGCACGTAGCCTGAATGCGCCATGTCCATCTCATTACTGAGAGGAGGCAGAGGTGGGTATTGGTAAGACATGACCGAAATCATGGGCACTGACGATGACAGGGGATCCGTCACCAGGTTACCAGGACTAAAGAAGTAGGGCTTCGAGTGACTGGACGACGGGATGGCGAGGGCCATAGAATAGGCCCTGTGGTCCAGGAGATGAGTTGTAGTATCAGGTTGGGAGGCCAGGAGCTCTTGAGGGTATGAGAAATATAGAGTTGGTCGCAAGGTAGATAGGGTGGTGGCGAAGTGGATGGTTCCAGGACAAGGTAATTCGCGGGCCTGGAAATGATCTCATAGAGAATGGCGAGAGGGCGGCATGTATTGGGCGGCGATGCAAGAGGCTGGAAAGAAAGGCACTCGTGCCCTATCGTGCCTGTAGGTATGCAAGACAGAGAGGCGTGTGACAGGCCAGGGCCAATCGAGAATGCTGTGCAGGTGTCTGCTTGCAAAGGCGGCACCCGCAGCTTTGAGACCCAGATGGCAACAGTAAGCTCGCCAAGCCAGGTAGACGGACGACAGTGAACCCGTACTGAGACGCCTGCGAGCCGGTTGACGAGAGCGGAAGGGCCGAGATACCGAGCACAGAATATGGAGACAAGAACGAGAACGATGGTTTTGCCCTGGTCAGGTTCAGTGCGGTCCCCTTGAAGTATTTGAATCCTGTCCCTGGGGGGCAGATCGACTTCTAGTGTAAGCCAAGGTCAAGGATCCTATGCTTTCAAGATGGCCAGCGGGAGCTAAGCCAACGAACCGGGGAGGGGGGGTGAGGATCGCAGTGTCGAGTCGGAGGGTTAACCGACTAGTCTAGCACGCAGTTCCTGCTGTGGGTACTGTACAGTATTTGGCCGCTTAGTACCGACGACTAAAATGGTGGATATGAATGGGTGGTGACAACAAGCGTCTGGAGCGCCACCGGGGGGTAATATTGGTCGGAGGCAGTTGGGGTGCAACCTGAACGACATGGGCGTCTATCAACAGGCCATCGATCGACAATGCCTGAGAGTTCCTGCCGTATTGTCTTTCGTTTCTTCTCCGAGTGTCTTTGCGCGGTTCCCAGGGTGGCGGTCGAGGCCAGATATAAGAGAGTCTGTCGTGGATCAATGGACGGATATGATGATGATGAGCAGCCAAGACCTTTCTTAGTCTAGGACGTGATGAGCACGCCGGAGAAAAGGAGAAAGGAGCCAGGTTCAGGGTGTCGTGCTGACTGTGGCATGGTATGGCTTGAGATATCCAACAACGACGTCTTGGTAGTTTCCTTAAATGGCCCAGTCGAGCATCCGAGGGAAACGCTCTGGAAGATATTTCAGTCCCATAGACGCGGTAACCTCCAAGATCGTATGAGCAACGATCCGTCCGGGGAGCCCTTGGACGTCGAACCCCGATATAGAATCCGTCACCACAGATCAAGATCCTTTGGAGTTTCAGGTAAGCACGCTATGCGGCACCTCGAATCGTGGAGCGGCTCAAGCACCCACTAGGGCTGTGATCAGTAATTGGGATCTCAAGGCAGTCCTGGAAGGCCCATAAACAGACCCGTAGGGATACGTAGTATGTATATCCGTACCAGCGTCCCTCCTTCTGTGAGGCTTATTGTTACGAGCCTCTATCCCTGTATACGAATGCCGTGGCGGCAGGGCGATGAGTTACGACCCCGATACGGAAGCGCCCTCCTGCAAGCTGGGCTCGCGGGTGCCAAGATTGCATGGACCACAAAGCAACAACACTGTCCAGTCGACATGGCTGATCTCCCATCTCCATCTCCATCTCCAGCTCCAGCCTCTGCAAAGCGCCTGCCCGTTTTTGGTCCGAACCCCTGGCAATGGGGCCTCCTCTGGAGGGCAGATCAAAGATGGGGGCCCGAGGCATCATCGTGGAGGTTCCATCCCGCAGAAACACTCTTCTAATGACGAAAGAGAGAATTTCCAACTGCGGCTGCGTCCAGAGCGATCCCACTTTTTGTCTTGCACTTCTTGGAGAGTGGTCACCAGGAAGCCGGTTGTTGGTCCCTGCTCCACTGATCTGAGTCGTGCCATAACATCCAAGGGGCGCGTTGCGGATACATACGCCTCATGCACAATTGTTGTCTTTTCTCTTCTCTCCGCCTGCCTGCCTCTGTGGACATTGGTCGGGAGAGACAAGCGCCGATAGAATCATCAGGCTTCTCCATCCGTCGAGCACTCGCACATGTGTTTGAAGTCTAGATTTGGACACCCACTCTTTGGTGAAGAAAAAGCAATGGCCATGCTCATGCTCAAAGGGACCAACTGCTTGTTTGCGACAGCGCCACCCAGATTCAAAAGACGAACTCCATGTACTACTGCAAGGTGCCGTTGCTCGTTTCCTTTTTTCTCCTTGTCGCTCTCAAGTTCTGATTGCTGTGGAAAATCCGGGTAGATGGAGTTAGCGTGGTGTCGTGTCTTGGAGCCACTCCCCGTCAGAACTGAATTGACCAAGATGAGTGAGTGACACAGACGCGTCAACATCCATGGATCCTGGCTGGCGCCGATGCGCGCTCCAAACTACGGACAAACAATGTGGCCGACCAACCCGCAAAGTCACCCCCAATGTGGTAATGGGGGCCAGAACAAGGTTCAGCCCAAGCGTTGCTACACTGCACGCCGTGGTCAGGGAGCTTGGAGCTGGGTTCCTGAGTCGCTTCAACGGAAGCGTTCTTGTTTAGACGTTGATCTGGTGTGTCTGTGCGTCTCCCTGCTTCATGCCCTGGCAGCTTGAGCCAGCCAGATGCGAGAATTTTACCATTACCCGCTAGATAGCATCTCTGGCTGGAGCTGCCATCACCCCTCTCCCGAGCTTTTGTGATGCCTTGTGGATACGATATCGGGTAGTCGATTTGTTGGGAGCAGGAGCCAGCGAATCCGACAGGACAAACACACTGCCAGCCGACCCCGTTTCCGACTTCTCCAAGCCTCAAAGAAATCTCCAGGCGGGGAGCCGGACACTGACGGCGAGAGCCCCTTTTCCAGCTAGCCCCGTAAGCGGCCATGGCCCTGCTAGGACCCCAATGAGGGAGAAAGCTGAAAGAGCTGAGGCCGCATCTGAGGCGAAGGATCACGCGCTGCCAGGCGCTATGGTATTCTGGCAGGTCTGGGTGGTTCTGACAGGTTTCGGTAGTGGTAGTAGGCAGTTTGGTTGCAGTACGAGCGCGCCATTGAACAACCAAGAGGACCCCTAAAGATGGGTCGTGAATGCAGTTCAGTTCAGGGGTTCCATCTTTAGATGTTGATCTCTTCGCTTCGCATCTCGAGTGGAAACCAACCCAGTGACAGCGGCGATGCTAATTCAGGGGCATGGCATGGCAACAGGTGCTGTAGTGACCGGGATGGCTGGAGAGTTCAGGATGCTCCCGTTGGAGGTTCAGGTGTCAAGCTGAGGGTACTCCCGCCGCTAGCTGAGTCGGGGCGGAGCTTGCGAGTGGCTAGAAAGCGAGTGGCTGCAAGTGGCGACAGCGGCCAGCAGCAGAATGACAGGAAGAAAGTCGAAATAGGCTTCATTGAGCGGTTTGGCCGCGATTGGCGTGCGACGGAACCGACGAGAAGACAGAGAGAGCAGATTTCGCGGTCAGGTCAGTGCCAGGCAAGTGTGATGAACAAGGAACAGGGCACCAAACAGGAAAGAGCAAGGCTCAGCTTGGCAGGGCCTTTAGACCCACTATCTGGGAAGGAAGCGACGGGAATCGGCCTCCCGCAGACGCACGTGCCCTGTCATGCTCCAAGCTTCCTCATCGGGAGGCAGAGATCTCTGTAAGAGGTGCGCTATCTCTCCGCTTCCGCTGTCTCCTCCACCTCTGGCTCACCCTCCCCTCCCCTCCCCTCCACCAGATGGAGGCCACCTACCAAGTGCCGGCCCACCCTTCATTCAAGGATCGTCCCCGCCTGGCCAAGCTAGAGAGAGCGACATTTGCCATTTGCATTCTCCCATTCTCAACTCGTCCATTGGGAGCAGCCGACGCACCGCTGTACCCCATCCTCAACCCCTGAGGCGCCCGTTCTTAGGCCTCTCCTCTTGCCTCAAGGTTCCCTCTTGCGCAGCTTACTGCGTGATAGTTTGCAGAGCTCTTATCATTTCTCACATCGAACGGTTCAAGACATGGTCCGATGCCAACCTGACCAGGCTGTCAGGCCAGGTTGAAAGACGCCATCATCCTTGAACCTTCTTTGCCTAGCACACGCAGAGAACCTGCCAGATCCAATGACGGGAGGCTGCATTCTCGGAGTGGGTGAGCAGGATGGGCTCCAGTAGAAATGTACACACCAAGCCTTCAAGTCTCAGAGGGCTCGCGGATACCATCATCTCCTTCTCTTCCACCCACGGCCTTTGAAGGTTTCGACCAGACACGCAACTGGCTCCCATTTGCGCTCCAATCTACTGCAGAGCTGTCAGACACACAGCAGATTCTCAGCAGGCATGTCAGTTTGCGTCACTTCTCACAACAGGGAACACACCTTTCCACGAGACCATTTACGGGGGCCTGGTTGATCAAGATCCACCTTGATCTGATGAAATCTTGCGTCTGGTCGGCTCTCCGGATTTGCGGATGGGATGCAGTCGCAATTTTTTCCAGGGCGTCTGCGGCAGTCTGTGCTCTCCACCCCCCGTGCCACTCAGCTGGGAGGCAGAGGCAGAGGCAGACACTCTCTCACCTGGCGGTGATATCAGCATACACCTCATGTTACATGTACATGTTCGCTCTCGTGATTCTTCTTGGCGACGCATGGTGCTGTCATTGATCGAAACACTCAGAGCATCGGGGCCTCAAAGCTTCACCCAAAACGGACGCAATGACCGAGCAGGGATGACATGCTTTCAGCATATGAATCCGATGGGATCAGAAGATGCCGACCAAGGTCGGACTCCTCTGTCAGCCATTAGTTATCATCTACCAGGGTTTTATCCACTCGGATCGCCCAGGCGTTAGCCTCCCTGTGAGACAGCACGCTCCTCGACTTGTACATTCCAGACGGACTGTACACCTCCCCGTCTTGTTCCGACAACTCGAGCTACGACCAAGCCAGGTCTCCTCGTCAAAATAAAGGGAAATCGAAACTGCCTCACGCCAGCGGCGGCTAGAGCCTTCAAGTGCCGTACAGTTCTCCGGTTCTTGCGGGGGC